CCCCGCCTCCCCCTTCCTCCCAGCCAGCCCCGCTCCTCTCCCGGCCGGTCTGACCCCCACCCCCACCCCCAAGAAGTGTGTCTGGTGTTTTGTTTTTTTTAAGATTACCTGGTAACCCTACAGATACACCATCTGCAAGGCATCTACTTGCAGCACCCCAGATTTGAAAAGGAGGGAATTCCCTGCCAGTCTGACCCCCACCCCCACCCCCAAGAAGTGTGTCTGGTGTTTTGTTTTTTTTAAGATTACCTGGTAACCCTACAGATACACCATCTGCAAGGCATCTACTTGCAGCACCCCAGATTTGAAAAGGAGGGAATTCTTTCCTATAGAAACATACTTCCCTTAACTACAAATTATCATCTCAGGGAATTCAGGGAGATTCCTTAGTTTAAGATACAGGAAGGAGTTTGGAACTAAGTTTTAGGTTTAGCATATTCAGCATTTCTAGCTTTGACCTCTCATAGTATTATTTTCAAACCTATTGAATGAAAACTTTCTAATGTTACTGATTATTTTCAACATAAGTATACAAGAAGACAAAAACTCTTGTTCATATACTTCCAAGACATTGGGCTCATTTAAACTGGTTAAAAAAAAAATCAAGGGTAACTCTCTTGAAGTCACCTGAGTTATATCCAATGAGATGAAAATCGGGCTTATTGTTTATAAATATGGTATATGCATACAGCATCAATTTAGCACTAAAAATCTAGCCACTACACTAATCATATTCTTAAAATATCCTTCTCATTTGAGGATTGATTTTGGAATTGGATTTACATGTGTGGACCATTACCCCCACTGGGAGATTCATTCAAGTCAGTGGGACTCTGCATGGAAGGCTGGACCTTCTTGGATCATAACAAAGTTCAAGGCTTACCTTGCTCAATCTGATCTATTAGGTTTTAATTGATAGTACTGGTGTTATTTCTCAATAAAAAGAGAGATTTAAATTTTTAATGCAGATGGCAAGATACTTCTTGATGTCACTGTCACTTCCTGCCAAAAGCTTTAGAGACAAGTGAGTGAGATGTTTGAATGGATTGGTCTCCACTACATTTAAATATGCAGGCATGCAGTCCAATACAGGGGAAGATGTTACAAGTTGAATTAAAAACCTAAAACCACACCAACAAAGGCAAGTATTAATAACAATAGTCTTGTGAATCAAAAAGGTTACAGCCATTTAAATGTCACTGACTCCCTGGGCTTCTGTTGCCAGTATTTTATTGCTAAGAGAGATTTGAGAATTCAATCAGGAGCCTCCTCTTGATCAGCTCAACAGGTGGCCACCAGAATGGATAGTCCACATCAGTTCTGAACATCGTCTGAACAATAGTGTTGATTGCTTAGCAAGACAGGTAAATTATGTTTAAATCTGATATTGAGAAAGCAGTTTTAAACTGTGTTTTCAAATCCATTTCAAACTTAGCTCTCTCAAGTACAGAGAGGTCCTAAATGTGCTGCACTAGTCATGAAGCAAGAAATATTAAGTTGGTCTATCTACAAGAGAAATAGACTAAAGGGGAAAGTGTTTCTAAACTGAGTTAGCTAACATGATTTGACCCACAACTTAGCATCTAGCATACACAGTTTAACACAATAATACTCATACTGGGTCCCATGTTGTAGCCCCTCAGGACTTATTGGGTACATCTATGCAACAACGTTATATTGAAATAACAAAATGCGCATCTACACAGCAAGCCATTATTTTGAAATAATGTCAAGATGGAAAACTTACTTCAACTCTTATAACCCTCATTTCACGAGGAGTAAAGGAAGTTGAAGGAAGAGTGTTCTTCCTTCAACTTCCTGCTATGTAGACAGCGCCAAAAGCCAAATTAACTATTTTGACTCCAGCTATGCAACTGACATAGCTGAAGTTGTATATCTTAATTTGACTTTTGCCCTACTGTGTACATGTATCCATCTTCACTAGGAAAAGCTGGTAAACAATACAAGGTAAACTCTAGTAAAGACAAGAAAATTGTAGTTGTAACATGTGCAAGCAGGTCAAAGTGAACTCTAGGTTCTCCCTTTGTGTTTACCTCAACCTGCTAACACACATGAAGACTAAAAGCTTTTAGACTTGATCTATACCACAGTTCTTTTTCCACAGTTAACTCAAGGGAAGTAATGCATCTGTAAAAGCTAGGCTAAATACTTCCCAAACATCTATTCCGAGATACAATGCAAAAGGGCAGCATGAAAGATGGCACATGGCGTGCATCTGCACAGCAACTGGGAACTGTGATTAAAGCTAGCACAAATAACAAAACCAGTAAAGCAGTAGCTTGCCAAGCAATAGGTACTTGAGTACTCACCTACAGAAATGGGCAGACAGGACTAGCTAATGCATCTGCCTGTGCTGCCCTGCCTTCACTGCTACTGTTATTTGAGCTAGCTCTGATGCTACAATTACACCTCCTGACTGCAGTGTAGACATACACATAGATCCTTGCCAGTGTTCCGTATAAGCGGTGTAATTGTGCGGCCACTCAACCAAGATTCAAATGCTGCCCAGCTGATTATCAGAGTACCCACAGCCAGGTTTTTGGTTTCCACTAGTGGTGCATGATTTCAAATGCCTTGGCACACATCAAAGTGTTTTCCACCCATGGATAAAAAAATATTAGAGGGAACATTGAAGCTTACCCACCAAACTGAGAAAAGGTAATCAAGGATAGTAGGTAATGCAAACTGAGGCAAGCTCAGTTTATAAGTAAGAGAGAGCAGGGTTACATAGAACCTTGAAGGTGGTAACAAGATCTTTAATCTGATGCAATACTGAATAGGGTAAAAAAGTGAGCTGTAACATAAAGTGAGATGCAATGAAGATAGCCTTAGCTGCAATATCTTGTAGGGAGCAGACAGGGATAATGTAGATTTCAGCAAGACCAGAAAAGAAAGTTATTGCAGTAGGCAAGGTGACATACAGCGGAGGCCTGGAAGAGAGATTTGTTTGAGAGGATAGAAAGACAAATCCTGGAAAAGCTGAGGAAGATACGGCCTGGATGTGTGAGGCAATGGAGATGGAGGAATCAAGTCAACACCCAAATGGCAGGCCTGAGTGATGGAGAGAATGGTAGTCTTGACACGGAAAGAGAATTCTTGTTCTTAAAACAACATTCACAGTTAAGGATAGTAAGTTCCATTGTTTCTCAGAAAAAAAAAAAAGCAGAAAGATAGCAATTACCTCTGAAAAAGGTGGTCTTCCTCCACCATTTTTCTTAGCAGAGCAATGGAACTTGGAAAATACAAAACCACACAAACAGCTCCTCTGGTTATGCCTATCTATGTCACTTGTAAAGGCATTACTCATCACCATGATAACCAAGCACTCACACATATACTTGCACTGAAATGCTTCCCAGGAAAGGATTTCCATTTATTGAATGATCTCCTCTATGATCCAAAGTCTATCAAAATAATGAAATTGCCCTTACCGAGGTATTTGTTTTCTTTGTTCCAAAATGCATTGATCTAACAAATCAATGAATTTCTGAGGAAAAGCTGAAAAATCTACAAGCAATCCTTGTTGGCTCTTTAAACTGCAAAGGAAAGAAGAGGATATCAACAGTCAGGGGAAAACAATATTTATCCTGAAACATTGCCAGTCTATAAAGCAAATTGGCTTTTCTAAACAGAATCTGGATGGTAGCGCTATATTATTCAAATATAACAATTATTTTTGTGATTAGCCATTTCCCTTACTTGGGCAGTATTTCCCCTGTACTCTCTTATTAGGGAATTTCAGTATCTTCCCTCCTATTCAAGTATGACCCGGCTGGTAAACGAGGCAGCCATATCTTTTAGAACTCACGCAAAGATAGCTACTAGAAACAGTTTAAAAGAAAAGAATGTTATTTTTTTTATACCAGAGCCATCAGACATTGACTTTACTAAAGACACCAATACTGTATGCACAATAACTTCAGACACTACATAAACACAACTCAAAAGTTCACACAATTAATTTTCAACAGCATACAACAGAACTTTCAAAGACTCACATTGATCTCGCAGCACATCTAATAGGGATGTTAGCATAGAGACATTTAAATCCTTTACTGATAAGCCTAGACTACATGCAGTCTCCCCACCAGCTTCCTCTGCAACAATTACTTGCAACTCCTCCTCTTGTCTCCCTATCAGACCCAGGGGAGAGGTGAGAGCTGGTGCTGGGGGAGGGCGAGCACCAGATCCCACAGAGCTGCCTGCCCCTCCCGCCTCCATACTTCTGCCTCTGATAGGCAGACGGCAGCTGGTACACATAGGAAGTTGGCTTTCAAGCTGGCTCCCCATGCATATCAGCACCTGCAGAACCGCCTCCCCGCACTGCTGCCTCCGTGTCAGAGGCAGCAGCATGGAGGGTGAGGAGAACAGCTCTCTGCTCATGCCAGCTCCGCCAGGCAGTAGCACATGGAGGGAGGCAGAGCCAGTCCGTCAGGGGAGGCAATTTTGGCAGGGGGCTCTCTGGGAGTAGGGCCAGGAGCACACTGACCTCCATCCCCATTCCTGGGGAGTATTTTAATAACCATGTAACCACCTAAAATTGTTGCAGATACACAATTACTAAAATACACGTAGCTAACATCCCTAATAGCTAACAAGGGCAACTTTTTACTATGTTAACAGGAGTTTTACATTATTTATTAATACTTTAAATACTTTAAAGAAAGATAATCATCTGATTTCCTATACTTATTTTCCTCAATAAAACAAAGAAATCTTTCAGAATAGTCTGCTTCCCAGCTCAAATGCTGACACTTGTATTGACATTATGTTAAAAAGAAAACATAATGCAGCTGGCATATAAATTGCCAAAAGTTTATAGCAACAATGAATGAAGTAAAAAATACAGAATACATTATTGTTCTTAGAACAACATTCACAGTTAAGGACAGCAAGTTCCATTGTTTCTTAGAAAAAAGCAGCAAGATAGCAATTACCTCTGAAAATCTTCTTCTCCTATAACAAGAGAATACAAGAATAATGGACCTGCATCATCAGTAATACGCACGGTAAGTTCCTGTCAGTTTGAGTAGAATTATATTAAAATTATTTGTTTAGCATAACAATGTGCTGCTGAGCTCCATAAAGTACACAGGAGACATGACATGTAAAAAAAATTACATTTACAAAAAAAAAAGACAAATTAATTACAATTAAGATATAAAATAGAAGGGGACTAAAGTGGTGCTTTTATCACACCTACAGTTCAGACTTTTGGGGGTGCTAAATAATAGCAGCTGAATGAAAAGTGAATCACACTGACAAGTATACTCAAGTTTATCTATAATGTACATTTTAAATTATTAGAATAATTTTCTGTATAATCCACAAAAGCATCATGGTTCACTTAAACACGAGGTTATATGGGTATACAGCAATATATACAAAAAAAGTTTCATAGCAACTCAGAGACCTGTGTCATTGCATCAAGGCATTGAGGCAATTTACATTCTGTTTTACCAGACAAAATACAGCAGAAATACCCAAAAAAAAAAAAAAAAAAAAGATTTTTTGATACGGAACATACCTTCTTATGAACAGGATTTGTTGATGTACAAGTTTCAACAGTTACTCTTATATCAGCCCTCCTGAAATATAGAGAATCTCACACTCAAAAGACATTTAATCAAAAAGGTACTAGAGTTGCCAGGTGGTTTCAACAAAAATACCAGACGCACTTGGCATTACATCACAATCTACATTACATCTTATGCTGGACATTTATATTTTCTCAATTTGTTTCCCGAACAGAAAGCTCAATTACTGGACTGTCCGGTTCAAAACAAGACACCCGGCAACCCTAAAAGGTACAGATTAGCATTTGAACTCATGCTTTCTGCAAAATGTACTGTGACTTA